TCTACAGGTACTTTTAGACATAATGCTAAACACTGATACTTTGTAATATGACAGCACCCAATTTTTATATAAAAACAATAATTCATCTTTTTTTAAAGCCAGGTTAGATAGGTTGCATAATGGACACTTATGATGGTATCTGTAGGCAGACTCAATTCCTCAAGCTCCATCTATCGTGATCTAGGTTTATGTAGTTGAACATCAGACATTACTAGTTCTTACCTCACCAAGCCGTTCACACATAAAATCCTCCCAGCCATCCTCAGGGGGTGACTCAGGAATGAAAAGCCAGTCAGCCCCAGAAGCCAGTGCTGAAACTAATGCTAGGTATCTGGAAAAGGAGAAGAGTGTCATCTTGTGAATGGCAGCTCTGATGTCTATCAAAGTGAAAGAATTGGTCCTGAAGATCGAATGAATGGAGGTGGGGGGAATTCATAAAGCACATAGCTTTTTTTTTAGATTAGCTCTCCCCAGCTAGGAAATTGTTGATTCTTTTCTCAGTTCAACAAACAAAAGCACAACTCTTACCCACAGTGCCTGCCCATCACTTCCAGCACAAATGTTCTCTGGTGACTGCAAAATAAAATTAGAGAGCAAGTGCTATCACCCAGTGCTATCTTGGATGAAGATATGAGTGCCTTACACTGATGAGTCGCTTTCATAATACAAAGAGAAGGGAAAAGGAAGAGAGGACATTAAACAAAATAAAGCCCTCAAATTACAGAGAATAGGTAAGCAGCTTCATTAAATCTAGTCACGCCTAGGTAAAAAGCTGCTGTTGTAGGACATGAAGTTAACTGTAGATTGTCTCAAGCAAGCCTTATATATAGTGCATGTGAAGAAAAGATGTAAGAAATCTTGTGTTCACCTCTGGGCAGTTGTAGTGATGGCATCAATCACCTCCATGATGCGGTGCAAGGCAGAGTCAGTGCCAATGGTCATATCAGTGCCACAGAAGTCATTGTCAATGGAGCCCACGAGGCCCACAATATTTAAATGACGGTATGTCTGAGATACTTCTTCAGTGATCTTTCCTGGAGGGAAAATGAATGAGAGGTTGGGAGTCTTAAGAATATCTCAAATGAACTATTTCCAAACACATTTAGACAGAGTTTATCCTACAGCAAACTACAGGTGAGTTATTTTAACTAGAATCAGGTAATTGTTAATTGTGTGTGTGTGTGTGTGTGTGTGTTCATTCTAAAACCAGGATTTTCTTCTATTGTATCTTAAACAGTATTCTGGTAAATTGTACACTATGTTTCTTGCCTTCTATAGCTTAGCTGCAGAATTATTTTTAAATGCATAAAATAATTAGAAAAGAAACAGGACAGATATGCCGTATGTATCATGAAAGCACTGATTTCACTAAGCATGTGTTTCATTGGAACTGAAGGCCGATTTTCTTTCTTTTAATTTCATTTCTATGATGTGTATCATGGTACAAAAGTACAAAGAGGGGTGCAATTATCTATAAAAAAAGATTCAGATAAAGATGCAAGGCTCTTAAAAGTGAGGAACTTTTACAAAAGTAATCATAAAATCATAGGACTGGAAGGGATATTGGAGATCACCTGGCCAGTGTTGGAATCCAAAACTACAACATTCCTGACAGATTGTAAAGGAATTTAGAGCTGACTTTGGGAAAAGCCTGAACAAGGGGCTAAGGAGGATAGGAAGGAACAAGCTATTAAGGAGGGACTTGAAGAAATGATTATGCAGTTTAGAGATTGGAGCAAGAGTGGGACAGAAACTCAGAATAATCCTGCCTTGATGCTGTTTAGTACAGAAGGGCTTTCTGAGTGGCTTTCACGATTCTATTATTTTACCCTACAACAATAGCATTTCTAGAATGTTTCTTGACTTGGCCTACCTTGAAGGGCTAACATAGCTGGTCTTCTAGCCTGCTTAAATATCCCCAGGGAAGGAGAATCCACCATTTCCTGACACAGTCTGTTCTATTGTTCAACAGCTACTACCATAGAAATGTTTTCCCTATGTCCAACTGAAATCTTATTTCTTATAATTGAAGCCTACAGTTTCTTTCCCTGTTATAGAACAATTCTGAAAAATTCTGCCAGTCTTCTTCATGACAGCCCTCCAGATAATACAATGTCTCCCCACGCACTTTTCCAAATTAAGCATATTTAACGTGTCCCACCATTCATCATTTCTTTTTCCTTCTAGGTCCCTTGTCATCTTGGTTATTCTTCTCTGAGGATGTCCACTTAAAATTTAAAATATTGTGCCCAGGACTCAGAGCACTCTGACCAAAGCAGAACAGAGAAGAACAATGACTTTTCTTGATCTTGAGTCTAGAAATATGTTGATGCAGCTTAGGCTTGCCTATGTGTTTTTTGTACTTGTTGGCTCTCATTCAGCTTATGATCCAAGGCATCCAGATCCTTTTTTTTTTTTTGCATGTGCTGCTGTCCAGTATGATCTTCCCCAAGCCTGCAATCCTAAACTCATGCCTCTGATTTTTCCCACTCAAATAGAAGACTTTGCATTGTCCCCGTTGAAGGTAAACTAAGAATAGGAAGAGGAGACTGTGGAAATTAAATATTAAATACATAAAACTCTTCCAAAAATTTTTTTTATTGGTACAGTTCTCAAAACACATATTGTACCAAGACAATAAAAACAAGTGCTGCTGTTGTTATTGATATGTGATGTGGCTGCATGTATGACAGATAGGTAATAGATTTCCTAGCAACATTATTAATGATCCTCTTCAAGTTACTGAACTTTTCCTTCTTTTGCTTACTATAAATTCTTCCAACCAATTTTTATTCAGATTATATTCTATCTTGAATAGTTGTCTTTTCCTAGCAAATGTTTTCAGCAGCTACTGAATACGCTCAATCCTCATGGTGGGGAAGATTATGTGCATGCATGCATATATGTATGGGGGTGGAGGGGTTGATGCAAACTTTCATGCTCTCTGGCTTGAAAGAAGCAATATAAGTTGAATAAATAAATATGTTGATACCACCTTCCATCCAGGCATTGTTTGGTTCCAGTCTGTTGGTTCTCAACATCCAAATTCACTTTTAGAGAGAATAACATGAAACATAGGTAACAGTCTGGCACTGATATCAGGATGTGAGAGCAAGTTTGCACCTACCGGCTTTGACTAGCTCCTCCAAAAGACCACCCCACTCTGTGCGGAAGATATTTGCACCAGTCAGGCTGCCATCCCCTCCAATGACACACAGGTTGGTGATGCCATGCTGTACCAGGTTGTAGGCAGCCCGGAGGCGGCCCTCCCGTGTGGTGAAAGCTTTGCAGCGGGCACTGCCAATGACGGTGCCACCCTATAAACAGAAAGGAAAGCCTAATTATAAATAAAAAAATTGGATGATTCCAGAAATTAATAGGAAAAAAATGTTCTTTGAAAGTGTATGAGTTCCAATGGGAAACCAAAATAGGCAGTTTCTAAAAGGGGACACAGGAGAAATAAAAAAGCTTTGTAGGTCTAGATTTAAACAGACCTAGGCTGGTATATGCTCTTGCTTCAGAAGGCACAAACCATGAAGTTATAAGAAGAATACATACATTTTCTCATTTTTATATTTTCTAGATTGTGAAGCATCAATTGTCAGGAGTGGTAAAAATGTGCAATCACTCACAAGGTACTATTTTGACAAGCTAACAATACATTGAGAGCTGACTGGAAAATATGCTAAATTCTCAAGGAAGTTATTTGTTTCTCTGTTAGATCTCAAGCAGATGGCTTTCAGAATGTTAACAGGAAATTCTAAAGATTACTCCAGTAATATGTACCACTGAGCAATGTCAGCCTTGGTAGTCTTGAACAATGAAACTAGAAACTGAGAGTTTATGTTAACATTTGACCTTTTCTGTTCTGCCCATCAGAGGCATTTCTTAATTAACCCAATTTTTTGTTATTCTGCAAAAGAACTTCTTAGCAGGTTCTGCTGCTGCCTGGTATTGTGAACATGACTGTAGAAAAACCATCTTCTGAACATCTGTCCCTTCAGCACAGGAAAAGGACAACTGCTTTGAGGGTTAGCATAATAAATCTACACCCACTGATTTAAAGCTTTGGACTAGTAACACAAATAAGGGCCAAAATCACAAAAATTATGGATTTAAGTTGTTACAATACTGGTAATCTGAAGAGAAATATGCTGAGGTCGGGAGTGGAGGAGCATGCTGCTAGAAAGGTTATTGTTTTTTAAATTGGACTGCTGT